GGGGTTATCGGGGCAAAGGGGGTGGGGGGTAAGGGAGGGCTATGGGCGTGTGGGGTTATTGGGGTTTGAGTGGGTTGTGGTGGTCTTGCATTTTTTTTTTTTGTTTGGGGGTGCTGGCCAGCAGCTGGTAGGTCGGTGCCAAGAGGTGGACTGATCGGCTGGTCGATCATGGACCAATTGCAGGGTATGGGTGTGTTGAGGGGCCATGGGGGGACTATGAGAGGCAGAGGGGTGATGGGAGGGGTTATTGGGGCAATGGGGGTGGGGGGTAAGGGAGGGCTATGGGCGTGTGGGGTTATTGGGGGTTGAGTGGGTTGTGGTGGTCCTGCATTTATTTATTTTTTTGTTTGGGAGTGCTGGCCAGCAGCTGGTAGGTAGGTGCCAAGAGGTGGACTGATCGGCTGGTCGATCACGGACCAATTGCGGTGTGCCAACCGTCGGCGTGACTACACTGGGCTTGGCCAGTTTGTCAAGTTTTGCATGCCACAATGCAAGGGGTATAGAAAAATTTTCTCTGCATTTTGAACTGTTTCCCTAAGTTTGTGGATGTCACCATCTGTAAAGGTCAGTCATTGGAAATCTTCTTTGTATTGTTCATAGACTAATTTTGCTGGGATAACTTCTCCGTATTGTGGGTAGACTCCATAGATCAGGTCTGTAATTTTTCTCTGTATCTTTTCGGGGGCTATCTATCGCAACAATAATGAAGTCGTTGTATTATGTTTTTGCATTCCAGAGTGTCATTCATCAATGGAATGGGGGTTCATTCTATTGTGCAATCCTGTCCATGGGTGGAAGCTCCCACTGTTGTACTGTCCTCTCCATGTGTGAAAGCGGCATTCATCAATATAGCACGTGGGATCGTTCTAGTTTTCCCTTCTTTGCATGTGTGAAAGCTCCCACTAAATAAAAACAATAGAATATATTTAATTTATTAATAATTCTCGAGCCCCCTCCATGTGTGAAAGCTGCCATACGTTCTGGAATATCATAAATACATCTCTGCGTTTTTTAAGTCATGTGCATACTTGTACTATGTCCATGTATTCTCCGGCTTGGAATCGCCTGGTCCTTTTCTCTTTTGTTCTACTGTATTTCGGGTGGCATTTAGTGTCCAGGTCCTTCCGGTACTGGGGGCTTACCTGCACCGTGGCTTCTGTTGATGTACCTGATGGCTATTATGGCCAGATTCAGTGTAGCCAATTCTATTGTATGGGGTAATTCTGTATGCAAATTGTATGGGTTAATTCTGTATGCAAGGTGGCTCAAATACCTCCAAGAGAGGGTTCCATTTGAAAGACACGTAGAAGTGAAGTGCTGCTTGGTTGTGTTTTTCCTATTTGTGAAGATGCCATGGCGGTGATTATATGTGCTCTGGGTGCTCGCTATTTATCCTACTGCTCAAACATAGCAAGGACATTCCTCATTGATGCAGACAGCTCGCAAGAAAAGGTTAGAATCTCTTCACGAAGCTTTGTGTTATCTGTGCAATTAAGTCAAAGAAACCTTGTGTATCTGTGCTCTCTACACTGTCCTCTTGTGTAATGGAATACTCTGTGTAATGGAATACTCTTGTGTAATGGAATACTCTGTGTATAATGTGATTTCCGTGGTGGGTGTGGCTGATCTGATGCTTTATGATCTACATCTACATCTACAATACTACAGAAACCGTTAGGCGGCATAAGGAACGGCCTGGATTCCAGGCCGATCACTGTCTCGGATGGTGCAGATCTCATGCTGATGAGAAACTTCTCTCATCAGCGTGAGATCTGCGGTGTCCGCGATAGTGATCGACCTGGAATCCGGGTCATTCATGCGAAAGGGACCTTTTTCGCGTAGACTCTGGCCTCGTTGAAAACACCCATTTCTCGGCCAGGCGGCCCACCGTCGAACGCCTGCCCAGCTTTTTTGTTGTTTTTTAGTTATATTCCTTCGTGGTTTTTTTTTCTGTGGGCGGGTGGTATGTAAGTCGGGCACTTTGTCTTGTTTGGCTTCTTTTGCCGGCACCACCCTGGCGTACTGCAGCCATACACGTCCTTCCTGCCCTAAGCTACCGTAGCCCTGCGTGAACTGCCTACCGTGAGCTACCGACCATAGCTCTACTCGGCCGGCCTGACCTGCCTTCTGTCAGCTACCGTAGCGCGTAGTACTCCTCTATCTCTGTACCCCAGCGCGTAGCGCTCCTCTCTCTCTCTCTCTCTGTGCACTAAGTGCATCAGTGGGAAGTGTTTGGTGCTACGTGAACTTTGTGCTTGGTGGCAAGTGTTTGGTGCTACGTGAACTTTGTGCTTGGTGGCAAGTGCTTGGTGCAACATGAACACAGTGGCGAGTGCTTGGTGTAACGTGACTTTTGCTGCAATGAAAAATTGGTTCGACATGCTTCAAGCCGTATCTTACGTCCTCTTTCTTTCTCTCTCTCTGTCCTCTCGCTCTCTCTCCTCTCTCTGCGACGTGAACTTAGTGCTTCATGCTTTGTGAACCGGGTGCTTGGTGCTATGGGAACTTGGTGCTCGGTGTTACGTGTGCTTGGTGCTACCATGAATTGGTGCGCTTCTCTCTCTCTCTCTCTCTCTCTCTCTCTCTCTCTCTCTCTCTCTCTC